TGAAAATTTGTAKTACGTTGTAACACTGTTTCCTTGAAGTTGAAAAAATAAATGTTTACTACTAATATAGAGATAAAAAACAGGTGGACCGAAGTTAGAATACTCTTTAAAATAAGAAGTAAACAAAATATTTGGACGCACTGAACGCTTTAATAAAAGACATCTAAAACTTTCTGAAAATCTGTAAAATAAAACTTAAAAGAACTCTCCCTAAATTTGGTGCAGGTTAGAAAATAGGGAGTTTATTTGTGGCCTACCTGCAAAGTGTCTAGAACCGTCACTTATTAAGATGATTAATACCTATCCACTCTAACTAAAACGCCGGGTTCGTAGAAAGAATGACAACAAAAATGATCAGTCTGGCGAAAGTAGGACAGTGAAGAAGTAAGTGTCTATAAAATATTTAGCCTCATCGCGTTCGTGCCAATGCTACAATGTCTTGTTAGAGACCCTTTTATTGCGGTCMTGTGAACCTTGCTAAAAGCTATTAGGTAATACACTGGGTCAGAAGGCTTTTGCAACCTCATAWGCGCTGATTGCAAACCAACGGTTACTGAGCTAGCGCGAAGCCTATAGATTCAACGCCCCAGTGTACGATGACATATGATCTTTGAAATACAGATACCAACGATTCCGTTGTAACCAGACATCCGAACAAGTTTAATATATATTAAAGGAGCTTGTTATACTAATTGACTATTGTTGAGCTTACTGTTAGCGAACACARGCCTTTTATAGTAGATCTTCTGCGCAAAATAAACCACACTTCGGAGAAGTACAATTGCTTCTACTTGATGGCTGGCACTTCTGCTTGAAAGACACCAGACTGGTCCGGAAAAAAAGAGTTGATTGAGAGCGCAGGTGCCATATGAGGAATGTCATTGAGTGCCACAATTGTGGTTGCACATAGTTAAATTTGTTTCAGCTGTTATCAGCGCCCAATAGATACCACAGGAATGGATTGTATATAATATATAATATATACTTTTTATATTCATTAATAACAATTATGTATTCAGGCTAGAAGTATTGTGCTAAGAACACGAAAACAGAGGGTAGTTGCATACTGATTCTTTTACTCTGAATATCAGAAGAGGCTAGCAGAGGAAGCTCACCTACTTTTTGTCTGCATTTATTTAAATAAGTGTTCATTCGATTTACCACTACTCAGAGTAGTAAAAATTATTAAAAGTAAGTTCGTTAAATCTAGCAATACTTTCTTTGAAAATTTACGAACAACAGTGTCACCCACATCGCTATACATTTTCACTACTAAATCTTCTTTCTAACTTCTACAAAACTTTATATGCTTATTATTCATTCACATACACATAAGGTATGTAAGTTCATCGCTCAACATTTACATATTTTTCTTCATTTACATACACTGGATATCCAATTGCTATACCGTTATTCATATCATATTTACTCATCATATTACACATTAATTATTGTATCGTTCAACGTCCACTACACAAATTGATCTAAATTTCATATAACATTACCTAAACACACACATACACATAAACATATGTACGCAAGTATTTGGCCGTAATCAAAATGTATGCGTCAGAACAAACATCGAGAATGACTTTATGTGATACTTAAAGCAAAGATTTCGATAACTTAACAACAATTTATCTGCCAAGTTGTTTTTGATTTAAAATTAATTGTCGTGTGCTATCCATTTGAAATTCTTCCATTTG